CATTTACTCACCCTCAGGCCATCCAAGATGTAGGTGACGTTTTTTTAGTAGAATAGTAAAGAAGATTTTGAGCTGAAACCGTGGTTCTTGGTGATTCATAAATGGCTACCGTCGTTTTGAGAGTCAAAAAAGCATACAGACAAGACCAAATTAAAATTGCTTGCAGGTGCATCTCAATAAATTAGAATGTTGTGGAAAAGTTCATTTATTTCAGTAATTCAATTCAAATTGTGAAACTCGTGTATTAAATAAATTCAATGCACACAGACTGAAGTAGTTTAAGTCTTTGGTTCTTTTAATTGTGATGATTTTGGCTCACATTTAACAAAAACCCACCAATTCACTATCTCAACAAATTAGAATATGGTGACATGCCAATCAGCTAATCAACTCAAAACACCTGCAAAGGTTTCCTGAGCCTTCAAAATGGTCTCTCAGTTTGGTTCACTAGGCTACACAATCATGGGGAAGACTGCTGATCTGACAGTTGTCCAGAAGACAATCATTGACACCCTTCACAAGGAGGGTAAGCCACAAACATTCATTGCCAAAGAAGCTGGCTGTTCACAGAGTGCTGTATCCAAGCATGTTAACAGAAAGTTGAGTGGAAGGAAAAAGTGTGGAAGAAAAAGATGCACAACCAACCGAGAGAACCGCAGCCTTATGAGGATTGTCAAAATCGATTCAAGAATTTGAGTGAACTTCACAAGGAATGGACTGAGGTTGGGGTCAAGGCATCAAGAGCCACCACACACAGACGGGTCAAGGAATTTAGCTACAGTTGTCTTATTCCTCTTGTTAAGCCACTCCTGAACCACAGACAGTGTCAGAGGCGTCTTACCTGGGCTAAGGAGAAGAAGAACTGGACTGTTGCCCAGTGGTCCAAAGTCCTCTTTTCAGATGAGAGCAAGTTTTGTATTTCATTTGGAAACCAAGGTCCTAGAGTCTGGAGGAAGGGTGGAGAAGCTCATAGCCCAAGTTGCTTGAAGTCCAGTGTTAAGTTTCCACAGTCTGTGATGATTTGGGGTGCATTGTCATCTGCTGGTGTTGGTCCATTGTGTTTTTTGAAAACCAACGTCACTGTACCCGTTTACCAAGAAATTTTGGAGCACTTCATGCTTCCTTCACACTGCCAAAAGCACCAAAAGTTGGTTAAATGACCGTGGTGTTGGTGTGCTTGACTGGCCAGCAAACTCACCAGACCTGAACCCCATAGAGAATCTATGGGGTATTGTCAAGAGGAAAATGAGAAACAAGAGACCAAAAAATGTAGATGAGCTGAAGGCCACTGTCAAAGAAACCTGGGCTTCCATACCACCTCAGCAGTGCCACAAACTGATCACCTCCATGCCACGCCGAATTGAGGCAGTAATTAAAGCAAAAGGAGCCCCTACCAAGTATTGAGTACATGTACAGTAAATGATCATGCTTTCCAGAAGGCCAACAATTCACTAAAAATGTTTTTTTTATTGGTCTTATGAAGTATTCTAATTTGTTGAGATAGTGAATTGGTGGGTTTTTGTTAAATGTGAGCCAAAATCATCACAATTAAAAGAACTAAAGACTTAAACTACTTCAGTCTGTGTGCACTGAATTTATTTAATACACGAGTTCCACAATTTGAGTTGAATTACTGAAATAAATGAACTTTTCCACGACATTCTAATTTATTGAGATGCACCTGTATGTGTGTGTGTGTATATATATATATATATATATATATATATATAAGTTTAATAATGACATTATTGTATTCTATTTTTAAAAAATTAAAAGACAAAAAAATGTGTAAAACAGCATATAAAATTAACAAATTATGTTGTTCTATTGACATTAAATATAACAAGAAGAAACTGAAAAAATATCTATACTTTGTAGATATTATATTTTTCTAGATTTTAATAAATGAAAATGTTGTCTTACGTTTATTTTTAGGAAAAAGGTTCTTCACATAATCAGGGGTCCGTGGCATCAAACTTTTGAAAACCCCTCATTTAGACATAACTCCTGTCTAATCATGCTTCATGTTATGTAAATGTTTCATCTGTTGTGTTGCAGGTTTCTGCGTATCCTCTGCCGGAGCACCGCAGTACAGCGCTGGCAACACAGGCCGCTATGCTGTGTGTCTGCTTATACTTCACCCCCTCCATCCTGCACACACAACAGGCCAAGATGAGAGAGATCGTGGACAAATACTTCCCTGACAACTGGGTGAGAAGACTGTATTAATCGTGTCAATTCCCAAAATGCGATGAATAAGTTTTTATTGCAATATCAACCTTAAATCGTCAGGTTATAAGCATATATATGGGGATCACGGTGAATTTGATGGAGGCGTGGGAACCATATAAAGCTGCTAAAACAGCCCTGAACTACACATTGGACACAGCCAACATCAAAGAACAGGTACTGTCACCTGAGCTGTTCCCGTTCACATTCGTTCGATCTAAACCAGTCACTCTGGACTCACACTTAGTCATTGTTTTCTCCTCTCAGGCCGGTCGATACGCTGCCAGTGTGGAGAGCTTGCGGCCGCAGGTGCAGCAGTTATTGAAGGAGGGATTTCTGAGAGAAGAAATCATCCTGGACAACATTCCCAAACTGCTCAACTGCCTCCGTGACTGTAACGTTGCCATCCGCTGGCTGATGCTGCACACGGCAGAGTCTGGTGAGATGTCATGAGCCCGTAAAGGTTGAAATCAGCAGTTCTCAACCTTTTTGACAATAGACCAGATATTTCTGGTACTTCTGATGTAATAACAAAGCCTAAAGGGGTCATATGACGTGATTTCAAGTTTTCTTTTGTCTTGGGAGTGTTATAAGCTGTTCGTGCATATATAAGATCCATAAAGTTGCAAAGACTAAAGTCTCAAACCCAAAGAGATAGGGCTGCACAATTAATCGAAATTAAAACTGCAATTGTCATGCGTATCTTTCAGTAAAGCATTGTTCTGTGATCAGTAGTAAATCTCCATCCGAAGGCCAGAGGGCGCTCTCGTGCTGAAACTCCAAATACGCCTCGCAGAAGAAATCCAGGAAATGCCTATCTCTACAGCTGAATAAACAGAAGATTTAACTGCTTTCATTGATTCCGTGACTAATAAACACGCGACTACAACAATATATGGTTTATCTGAGTTCATCTTATTATAATTTTTATTATAATAAAGTATATAATAATGCAATGCTAATCGACACAGCCTTTATCACTGCTTAGAATACTATGAAATATTGCGTGCCTTAATTATTCTGTTTAAGAAGCCACATCAACTCGACTGACGTTATGAAGTGAGTTTGGAGTAAAAAATTTTATTAAATGTGGTATTTTCACGTGCTTTCAGATGGAGCAGCATTTACTACACAGAGCCGTAGTTCGCTGACAAGCTACGCAAACAGCTGTCATTATCGCGAAAGATTTCTTCGATTTCATAATCGTACGATTATATCGTCTGCGATTATGAATGCGATTTTGCGTAGTTTTTCAGTGAACTACGGCTCTGTGTAGTAAATGCTGCTCCATCTGAAAGCAGGTGATGGAGATTTACTACTAATCACCGAAACCGGCTTTACTGACAAGATACGCATGACAATCGCATAAGATTAATCGTGCTGCCCTACAAAGAGATATTCTTTATAAAAGTTTAGACTTATCTGCTCCTTCCTAAAATGCCTCATTCAAACACTACGTCACTGTGTTGAAAGTTTTGCATAACACCGCCTAAATGTTTACACAAAGAAAGAAGGCGTAACTTTTATTCTTGCTGTAGAATTGTTGCCGCTGCCGTCGCCATGTCGTGGAGATGCTGTGTATTTCCAAATATGGTGAGGGGCATAATATCTCCGTCACGCGCTCGAGGTATTCGGCCAATCACAACGCACTGAATAGCTGGCCAATCACAGCACACCTCGCTTTTCAGACCGATGAGCTTTGTAAAAATCAACACTTTTCAGAAAGGTGGGATAGAGAAGAGCAACAATAATGTACGGTATGTGGAAAATAATGTTTTTTTTTTTACCTTAAACTGCATAAACGCATTGCATTACACCAAATATACAAAATAATGTTATTTTTAGCATCGACCCCTTTAAATTAAAATAAAACATTTCCATAACTGAATGCATGAGTTTTTTCACTAGTTTTTTTTTATGCATAAACAGCAATTTCTTCATGATGAAAAATTTTTGAACTTGGCTCAACAAGAAATGTATATTCGTTATTAAAAATTCCAAGACTTTGTACGATTTTTATACATTTAAATGCATTTCTGAAGTCTAGAAATCACACTTGTAAAATTATGCTTCCTTAAATATTCTTGTTTTCGAAGACCATCGGAATTCTCGTTCTTAAATAAAAATGACATTTGTTGAGGGGGTGAATTAAAATAATTTTAAGTCATCTTGAGGGCCACTTGGAAGTTTGCTTGGGCCCCGTAGTGGGTTCTGGACCCCTTGTTAAGGAACACTTGGTCTAGATGTTTTGAGTTTTGATTATTGAATTAATTTGGAACGAATGCCTCAAAATGCTTTTCTGAGTAATTTTTTTTTTATTTTGTTTATTAAAGCTTATGATCCAAACAACAAGAGACTGCGTCAGATCAAGGATCAAGTCATCAACGACTCCAAATACAATCCCAAAATTCTGTTTCAGCTGCTGCTGGACACGGCCCAGTTTGAGTTCATACTCAAAGAGGTAAATCTAAAAAATAATAATCATTCTCAATCTTAAATTGATACCTTGGTAAGGTTTTTTTTTTTTTTTTGGTTACTTTTAAATAATACTACTAATGCATAACCATTCTCACAACTGTTTTCAACATTAATAATAATAAGAAATAGTTCTTAAGCAGCGAATCAGCATATTAGAATGATTTCTGAAGGATCATGTAACTGATGACTGGAGTAATGATGCTGAAAATTCAGATTTGAATAAATTATACTTATATACTTTTTTTTTTTTTTACCAATATTACTATTTACTATTTTTTCATCAAATAAATGCAGCCTTGGTGAGCATTAGAGACTCCATTCAAAGACAAATGTTTGAATTTGTTACTTGGCCTCTCGTTATTCCTTTCTCTCGGTTTGTGTGATTCTCAGATGTTCAAGCAGATGTTGGCAGAGAAGCAGCTGAAGTGGGAGAGCTATAAGAAAGAGGGATCGGAGAGAATGATGGAGCTGGCCGAGGTGTTTTCTGGGGTCAAACCTCTCACCAGGGTGGAGAAAAACGGTAAAATGCTTTTGCGGTCCCACAACATGCAGGAGGCAAACGGTAGACATCATTGTCGGCGTGTTAATTTGTTTGATCAGAGAATCTTCAGGCCTGGTTCAGAGAGATCTCCAAACAGATCGAGTCCCTGAACTACGAGGACTCGACCGCAGCCGGCAGGAAGACTGTGCAGCTCATTCAGGCTCTCGTGGAGGTACAGACGCATCTGAACGTGTGCTGTGACCCGTGACTCTCCGCACTGATTTCACATTAAATTGTTTCTCTGGTAAGGTCCAAGAGTTTCACCAGCTGGAGTCCAACCTGCAGGTGTGTCAGTTCCTGGCGGACACACGCAAGTTCCTCCATCAGATGATCCGCACCATCAATATCAAAGAGGAAGTGCTCATCACGATGCAGATAGTGGGAGATTTGTCCTACGCCTGGCAGATCATTGACAGGTGATGATGGCGATACATTGGCCTCTTCTTGATTTCTCATCAAAATTTTAGGTTGAACTTCCTAATCCAAATGTGTTTCTCACAGCTTCACATCAATAATGCAAGAGAGTATCAGAGCAAACCCCTTCATGGTGACCAAACTCAGAGCCACTTTTCTAAAGGTCAGTCAGAATGGCCTGTTTATATTTGTGACCCTGGACCACAAAACCAGTCATAAGGGTTAATTGTTTTTTAAATTGAGATTTATACGTCATCCGAATAAATACGCTTTCCATTGATGTATGGTTTGTTAGGACAATATTTGGCCGAGATACAACTATTTGAAAATCTGAGGGTGCAAAAAAATCTAAATATTGAGAAAATCGCCTGTAAAGTTGTCCAAATTAAGTTCTTAGCAATGCATATTACTAATCAAAAATTAAGTTTTGATATGTTTACGATAGGAAATTTACAAAATATTTTCATGGAACATAATCTTTACTTAATATCCTAATGATTTTTGGCATAAAAGAAAAATCAATCATTTTGACCCATACAATGTATTTTTGGCTATTGCTACAAATATACCCCAGCGACTTAAGACTTAAGAGGTTTTGTGCTCCACGGTCACATATGACACTAGAAACAGATCCACCTCTGAATTGTGAAAATAACATGAGCTTTATGAATATGAACAGCTTGCATCTGCGCTGGATCTGCCTCTCCTACGAATCAACCAGGTCAACAGTCCAGATCTGCTGAGCGTGTCTCAGTTTTACTCTGGGGAGCTGGTGGCTTATGTCAGAAAGGTTTGGAGAAGAGATTTGATTTGTGATTGGATCTTTTGTTTTGGTCCAGATCTCTTTAACTGTGTGTCTTGCAAACATGCTTCCAGGTTCTGCAGATCATTCCAGAAAGTATGTTCACCTCGCTGGCCAAAATCATCAAACTGCAGATCCATGACATTATGGAGGTGCCCACACGTCTGGACAAAGACAAACTGAAGGACTACGCTCAACTCAGCGCCCGTTATGAGGTACAACAGATCCATTTTGTATTCTTGAAAGTAGCCGTAATAATCCTAAAGTGTGTTATTATTCAGGAAGCTAACTGTATACTTGCCAACTTTAACAAAATTACAACATGGCAGTATTTTCTCATTTATATAAAAAAGTAAATAAAAACATTTAAAATAATAATACATTTTATTTTTATTTCATTTATATTTTTAAAATATTCATTTGTTTAACACAAAACCTGTGGATTATATCCTAAAATCAAAAGAAATTATATTTATCTTAAAATTAAGTTTAAGATTTTTTTGCATTGATGCATGAACTTTGAAAAACTTCTTTGCAACAAATTACGTTTTAATTGTAAAGTTTATTTATAAGCAAGCTGTGCACATTAAAAAAAACAATTAGCCTACATTACAAATGTAGTTTATTTTGTTTCATTCTACTCTATATATCTATAATTTTCTTATGTTACCCCGGGCCACAAACCCAGTCATAAGGGTCCATTTTAATCTGAAAGCTGAATAAATAAGCTTTCCATTAGGACAATATTTGGCTGAGATACAAGTATTTGAAAATCTGGTATCTGATAAATCTTTAAATCACCTTTAAAGTTGTCCAAATGAAGTTCTTAGCAATGCATATTACTAATCAAAAATTCAGTTTTGATATATATGGTATGGAATTTACAAAATATCTTCATGGAACATGATCTTTACTTAATATTCTAATGATTTTTGGCATAAAAGAAAAATCGATAATTTTGACCCATACAATGTATTTTTTGCTACTGTATTGCTTTTTTGTATTGCTATTGCTACAAATATACCCGTGCAACTTATGACTGGTTTTGTGCTCCAGGGTCACAATATATATATATATACCAATACTATGTATTTATTTATTTTATGCTGTATATTTGTTGTATTTTGTATTCTTCTACTCCATCTATTTGTTTATTTTATATTTATTTTGCCCACTATATATTTACATGCATTATATTTTGCGTTCTTTTACTCTATATAATATTTATTTTACTCTATATATTTAGATGTATTCTTTTACTCTATATAACTAACTTGCTCCGCTAAATTTTCTACAAAATCTGCAAGTCTGTTTGCATTCGGTATTTTAAATTAAACTTCGTATTCAGGCCTCGAGTCGACATGTTGTTCTTGCATAGATTCATATTGTGTAACTAACTATAATAAAGTAACTCACTGACCTTCTTCATCTGACAGGTAGCTAAACTCACTCATGCCATCTCAGTCTTCACTGAAGGTATTCTGATGATGAAGACCACACTCGTCGGCATCATCAAGGTGCTAAAACAGATTCTCTGAATGTTACACCTTGATCATTTTTATAGATCACAAACAGGCATTTTTCTTTTCATTCACAAAAAGACAAGAAATGTGTTTTTATATTCATGTTGACTATAATGTATTTGAGAAATGTTTTAACTAACCTTGTTATGGTGTTTATGGAATATTAAACATTATTGATGCTGTTTAGGTGGATCCGAAGCAGCTTCTGGAGGACGGGATCAGGAAAGCGCTTGTCAAGCGTGTGGCTTACGCTCTGCACAAAGGCCTCATCTTCAACCCCAAAGCCAAAGTGAGCAAACCACCATCTTATAATTATATTCTGTCTTATCTGACTCACTAGAGTTTGTTTAGAAGTGCATTTCTGATGTCTCTTTCAGCCCAGTGAACTGATGCCAAAGCTGAAGGAAATGGCTGCCACCATGGATGGGTTTTACCGCTCGTTTGAATACATTCAGGATTACGTGAGCATCTACGGCCTGAAGATCTGGCAGGAGGAAGTGTCTCGGATCATCAACTACAACGTAGAGCAGGAGTGTAACAGTTTCCTCAGAACCAAGGTCTTGTCTTTGCAGTATCTTATTGATTTGAGCCTCAGATTTCACTGCTGGTGTTGATTTAAAGAGGTTCTTTTCAGATCCAAGACTGGCAAAGCGTCTATCAGTCCACCCACATTCCCATTCCTAAGTATCCGTCAGTTGATGAATCCGCCACGTTTATTGGACGTCTCTGCAGGGAAATCCTGAGGATCACAGATCCAAAGTAAGTCACAAACACTCAAAGCTTTGATGGTCGAGCGCTAAACATCTGGAGAAATGCCACGTTGCTTGTCTTTGTTTTGTTTCAGAACGACGTGTTACATTGATCAGCTGAACACCTGGTACGATATGAGGACGCATCAGGAAGTGACCAACAACCGACTCTTCTCGGAGATTCAGGACACGCTGGGCACCTTCGGCCTGAACGGACTCGACCGACTCTTGTGTTTCATGATCGTGAAAGAGCTGCAGGTCAAGCTTAATATAAGAATTATTCATTATTAGATAAGAATTTTTCAAGATTCTTAATGAATTAAGAACCTTAACGAAACAGTCAAATTGCTTAAAAATTTAAGGTGTATTGCATAATTTAGTAAAGAATTGTAAGAATCACAATTTTATTCAAAAAATCAGTTGGATCAAAATTTAAATATTATATTTATTAAATATTTACACCCTCCTCTTCACAATAAATGTCACGTAAATGATAAATAAAATAAAAAATGGTTATTAATAATAATACAGTTAGTTGTAGTATTATTAGTATGTTAGTTTTAATAATAATAAATTAAAACTATCGAAAGGATCAAATCAAACTGCATCAGAATTTCAGATATATTGCATAATTTAGTAAAGAACTGAATAAATGTCACGTAAATTATAAATAAAATAAAATACTATAAATAATAACAACAACAATGGTACAATTAGAAGTAGTATTATTATTAGTATTAATAATAATATTAATAAATTCAATCAATTCTAAACTGTAACAAAATAATCAAATCAAGTTTAATTGCATAAAAAATGTCAGATTTCAGGTATATTGCATGATTTAGCGAAGAACTGAATCAACAACTCTAATTGTATGGAAACATTAATGATTAATTATTAAAGTGCCAAAATTATGGATTTTTGAAAATGACCTTTCGTGCAGTGTGTAACACAGCTCTAAGTGAATGAAAACATCCTGCAAAGTTTTAAATCTGAAAGTGCACCGTGTATAAAGTTATTGTCTCTCAAAAGAAAGAGTTGACTCTGAATCATTGAAACGAGTCGTTTTTAAAACGAATCCCAAGCCGTTTCATGTTGACCTCAACATGAAACATTAGCATATTGCCCGCCCACTTGTTGGTCTTCTTGCTTGGTTTGAAAGAAAATGCAAATTCATTCTTTGCCACTAGGTGGCGCTTTTGGAGCGGTAAAAATAGCGGTTTCCCCAATAACGCTGTACACAAAGCAGCACTGCGCTCACAAACGCTGCTTTATCAGGCATTACAGGCACGGTGAAATGAAAATGAGACCAATCACCGCAGATTAGCGTCACGCAAAGGAGAGTTTTAGAAAACTGAATCGTTAAACGAATCGTTTGGGAGTCGTTGAGCAAGTAAGGTAAAAATAAATGCATATTATAAGACAATGAAAGTGTTTTTTGACCTTGCATGCATGTCAACCTGTTGTAGGGGACTCCCAAAACCAAAATATGAACCTTTCATAACCCATAATAGGGGCACTTTAAACAAATGATGATAATAATAATCTGTCCTTGTTTCTAAATTGCAGAATTTTCTGACAGTCCTACAGAAGAACATCCTGAAGGACAAAGCTGTGGTTGACATCTTTAAAGCTCTGCTGTCGGCTGTCAATCCTGTCAAAGGGATTGTGGGTAGGTGTGTTTGATAGACTACTTTAAATCTGACACTTATTCCCACAATAATATTCTTGATATATTTGTGTTTCTGCATTAATATTCAGCAAATGCAAGCAAAGTCTACGTCAACGCTGTGGCCAAAACTCAGAAGATCTGGCCAGCGTATCTGGAAGCCATCATGAAGGTGCTGCCTTCTTTTCATCTATGAGATGTTTGTTTTTCATCTTTTTCAGCATCACTATTCAAAATCAATCAATGATCCTTTGACAGGTGGGTCAGATGCAGATCTTGAGGCAGCAGATAGCCAATGAACTGAACTACTCCTGCAAATTTGACTCGAAACATCTCGCCGCGGCGCTGGATAATCTGAACAAGTGGGTTGGGAATGATGTTTATTTCTTAGTGCTTGGGTTGGCTTTACCTTCTCCCTCATAGACGACTTCTAAGGTCAGTGTGGTCATTTCCAGGTCTCTGCTGTCTGATATTGAAGCTCATTACCAGGATCCATCGCTGCCGTATCCCAAAGAGGACAACACTCTGCTCTACGAGATCACCGCGTATCTGGAGGCCGCTGGAATCCAAAACCCGCTTAACAAAGTGAGTCGTGTGTATGTGAAATCTTCATTTGACATCATACCAGTGATTATTTTATTAGATGTTTTTGTCCAATCTTTTGGCAAAAAAATGACCCAAGTTTGAGTGCATCCTATGATCCGGTCTGTTGACATGAACCACTTTTTGTTGTTTTATTCCAATTTTCTGCTTTGATGTTGATTTTAGTTAAAGTTTTAGTAATTTTTGTTTTTGTCATGTTTGTTAGTTTTTGTTGTTTCTACATGTCTATGTATGGTCTATATATTTATTCATCTTTATTTCAATTTTAATTTTAGTTAAGAATATTAAGTTAAACTAAATGAAAATAAGAAATGTTGCCGTGGAAACTAGCTGAAATGAAATGAAATGTTATTTTATTTCAGCTAGCATTTATTTTATTTCAAGTAACAATTTTTTTACGGTTTTACTTTTAGTTAACTATAATAAACCTGACTCCATCTAGTGGCGAATCACTGGAATTTTGAAAGTTTGATACAAGTTCTGAACCACTGATTAAAAACAAATTTTCTTGAAGCAGTGTTTTGAAAGCTCTCCTCATTAGTGAACGGATCATCTCAAGTAAAAGCTCTAAAGTTACACAATGTGCAGAAAATGCAGTGTAATTACCCCTTGAGAAACAAAAGAGCTAAATCATTGTTCTGAGGAACCTGTCTAAATAATTGAATCATGTGCTAATGACAATAAATTGATGCTGACATATGAGAAGTCTTACCCTGGCACTCTGTCTGTTGGCCTTCCTCTCCTCATCTGGAAGGGGAGGCATGGGGTAGGGGTATCTCCGGCTGGAGGCGATGGAGCCCGTTGAAGAAGTGGGCGATTTGGCGGGTGACAGCGTCCTGAGAGAGCGGAGAGATGTGACATTAGTACTGTAGTGTGTGAACCGGATACTAGCGTTAACAAACATGGAGCGGTCACCTTTGACCCCTTGACGAGGTCAGAGGGAGTGTTTCCACGCCAAGCCATCATCCAAAATCACTAACTTCATCAGTCCTTGCCACAAAAATACCCACTGGCTCTTACTGGAGAGTGAAGCTGGACAGATACTGCGAGCACAATGTAGTGCTGTTGGGATGTTTAACGAACAAACATACCCGGTGGCATGTGGGCTTTCAAACATGGCGGACATGATGAGGTGATCAGGACAGACACATGTGATCATCACAGTAATATGGTAAATATGGTAACCAAACGATGAAGACATCATAGTGTGCAAAAGCGACACACATTAAGCAGCAGCCAGCATGCAGAGAGGGACACTGAGTGTCAGAGGGACAGAACAGTGAAGGAGGAATAAAACAAAAATTAATCAAACACAGAACTTTAACTACAATCAATGAGGCTGGTTTGGTCTTTTGATGTTCACACACAGATGTACAAATACAACAGCCTACACAGAGCACCTGAGTGAACCTCACGAAAACACATCCTAGCTATATTTCAGTCAAAAATCAAAAGAAAATATTATGTTGAGTAAAATTGATTACATGATAATGACATATAAAATATATATATTTACCCATATAAAATCATTTTTAGGAACATTATGATGACTGTCATTGTGACAATGTTTATTGTTTCCCACACATTTCACCCCCAAAATACTTTTTATTTTATTTTATTATAACTCGCTGGTGTTTTCATTAAGTCATTTTAGTTGTACTACATTGACAGAACTACTGTAATATGTTTTATTTAAATTCATATAAATTAAAGGTAGTACAAAAATGTAATATGATGTATATTTGCTTTACAGTATATTTTTTTATTATTTATTTGCATTACAATAATGAGAATTTTAAGAATTTTTTTTAATGTCCTTTTTTTCATTGAACTATTGTCACAATGCAACAAAAACCTTAATGGCCCTACAAATATTTTCTATGTAAAAAATAATTTCTTATTTCTGTTGATGTTGGACTGAAATCTTATCTGAACATGTTCTTGGTTTTGTGAGATGATCATATGAAAGCCATTCTTGGATACTTGCATCACATGATTATCGATGTTTACATCAAATGATGCACCGATTATCAAATGCCTTCAGTCTTCCTTTATTGTGGAGTATGAATGGAAGATTTATGCTTATAAAGCACTGGGTATCTGGATATACTGTTGACCCTTGTAACTTTAGAAATATTCATGCATTTACAGTGCACTAATTAAAAAAAAAAAAGAATTCTCTAATGTGATATTGCAGTTTAATTTCTAGTGTATCTGTTGATGACTTGTAATGGAATAATAAATGATTAGATCAAATAGAAACAAATACATTGAAATGAATATTTGATTTTGAGAGGATTCATGTCGTTTCTGCCAGCAAGTGCTCTTCAATCCCTAACACTCAGTTCTCATCTCTGAAAATTATATTTGGTCAAGGAAACGAACAACTGATGGATAGGGACAGATATAATGCAGTCTGATGTTATTGTACCTAATATAAGGTCCTTCAGTGTTTTTATTCACATCTTCTACCCATTTAGTTACATAATTCTCTGATTTGACGCAAGGGGTTAAATACCTGCAGGATGAGGATGGGAAAGGAGCGATGGTGAACAGAGAGATAGAGAAAGGGAAGGGTAGGGTAGGGGGAGAAGAGAAAGAACAGGAGAGATAGGAGAAACTGGATAAAGGAGGAAGTTGGTAAAAGACAGCAGCAGCACTGAAATTCTTTATGGTCCAAGATGCAGGTGAGAGATCAGACAGCAGCTCAAGAGTACAGCACCTACACAGATATCATGAAGCTTTTTCGCTTTATGGCTGATGCAGGACAGAAAAATTAAAGACTCTGCTGCTGTAAACCTCAGCATCCAATTGACCTTAGTTCACCCGAAAATGTAAAATTTGTCATCATTTCCTTGTTGTTCCAAATATATTTGACTTTCTTTCTTCAGTGGAACACAAAGCAAAATGTTATTTTCCATTCAATGAAAGTGAAATAGTGGCTAGTGAATATCTAAAATGACAAAAACAGAATAATCAAAGCAGTCTGTATAACTTGTGCACTGTATTCAAAGCCATACAATAACTTTTAGAAAGTAAACGATTGAAATTTAAGTTGTATTAGATGAAAATCTTCCCCTTACTCTAGCACTACTATCTCATTCGTACATGTGCATATTCAAACAAAGTTTATATACTACTGTTCAAAAGTTTGGGGTCAGTAAGCTTTTTTTTTTTTTAAAGAACTGAACACTAATTCAGCAAGGATGCATTGATCAAAAGTGAAAGAAATCTTCTGTAACATTATAAATGTCTTTAATATTTCAAATAAATGCCTTTCTTTTTCTTGAAACATAATGCATCACAGTTTCCGCAGTAATATTAAACTATTACATCTATACTATATAATATTTCTTCAAGTATCAAGATTGAATAGATGTATGCCAATTAGATTTAAGAGTTATTGCAGAGGTTAAAGTTATCAGTAATTAGATTTAAATTAAGATCTCCTCCTAATATCACATCATTAAGTAATTGACGCACTATATACTATGCACTTATACACTATGTACTTATGCACTATGTACTCAACCATGTAGTGTATAAATTACATGAGGTTATTTTGTCATTAATAATATGAGTTTGATAGCCCCTCCCCCTACGCTACAAAATTAAAGCTGCAACAGTTTAGTGCATTAACCTTTTTTTTCGGTTATGCCAAAGTGTTATTTAAGTGCATCATCAGGGTATTTAAAGTGCACTTTTTCTTTTTGGAATTTTCAGTGTGAACACACTACTTGCACTATTTATACTAAAAAACGTCATAGAGTAGCGCATAAGTACGCGATTTGGGACGCACCTTTAGAATATAGTGACTACTTTTTTGATACTTCTAAATAGCTTAACAGTCCCTGATCACTAAATTGTTTAGTATAGAAAAGCATCAACATTTTGTTCTGTGTTCTACAAACAGAAAGTCATACAGGTTTGGAATAACATGATGAGAGAATGATGATTTATTTTTCAGTGATCTGTTCCTTTAAATTTAGCAGAACTTTTCCACAAGCATCAAACTATTCAACGTTAAAGCACATTTTAGAAGTGCAATGCTGCTTACTAATGCGTTTCTGAATATGTTTTGCTTGAGATAAAGTTAGTCGTATTTGTGTAGGTCAGCTGCATGTTGTTTTTTTGTTTTAGTTGAGGTCAGTTTGTCACATGCGTTTTGAAACAAGAGAATTTAGGTGCAGAAACGAGCATCAAACTGAAATCAGAATCAGAGTGTATATTGTGTGCATACAGATGATGACAGACATGCAGGTCAGTTTCAACATGCTGTTTCCAGAGGTTAAACCAATGCACACATCAGTGCACACCCAAAAAAAAAAAAACATTTACTCCAAACGCTTTTCAATAAAATTGTTTGGACTGTAGTAATGACAAATGGCATAGAGTTTAAGACTCCATGCAAAGTCCAACATCTACATCAGTTACTGTACTATGTCATATGGCAACACTGCATCTCTTACTCTGTGGAGTTGGAGCGAGGACGGAACTTCTTTCCCTTGAGCTTCTTACGGGTACCTGTGATGTTTCCTGCATCGACAGAGGAGAAGAACACATGATATGAATGCTGAGACGAATCTGATGCAAGCTTTACCATTTTGAGCGGATGTATTGATGGGCGCGTTACCTTGCCATGAGTTGCTCCTGGGTCGTCCGTTTTCACAGACGTCAGAGATGTGCTTGGCATCTGGGATTCTTTCACTCCAGGAGTGAGACATACCATTAGATCTTCAGACCAAAGAACAGAGAAATTCTCACTGAAGTTCATTAAATGCAGTTACACAGATTAAAAGGGTTCTGTATGAGGAAAACAGATGACAAAGACATCATGTGGGTCATTCCTACTAAGTTTTCCAGTACATTTCATTCCATTACATTTGAATGTTTACTCACTGTTATTAAAGATCATATCAGTTTGTTGCTTTCTTTTAGCACACAATTAAGTGTGTGTGTTTTTCCCATGTCTGCAAACTATCATGGAAAACTGGGAATGCATTTTAAGCAATATTGCAGGGGGTTCTTAATTCCTCCTTCCTTCAATCAAAATGTCTAGCAAAAAATTTTCTTTGAAAAATTGTCAGAATTTATGATCATTTTATAGGTTTCCCACTTGTCTTCAACTTCAACTTTTTATCCCTGTTAATCTTTTGTAATTTTCTTGACAAAAGTCTGTTTCTTTAATCATCATCATTCAAATTATGTCATGTACTTCCTTAAAGTTCTTTCTTATTACATTACATCTTACTACAGTATAATTAATTTTTAAAACATTGCAGAGATCAGAGGATACTGTAAAGCAGGAATGACCCACATCACTGTGATAAGCAGAACAAACACACTGAAATGAGCAAGATGAGCATGAGATCATGGAGATGGGACACCATGAAGACACTGACTTACTTACTTTAACAATAACCAAGAGAAAGACAAACAGACAGTTTTGAGCACAAACCTGCAGCGGAGAAGTCATCAAAGAAGGAATAAAAACCTGCAAGTCTTGACAAAAACATTACGTCCTGTAGAAGGAACTGCACAGTTTATTTTAAAGAAGTCTATGCCAAATAACACTGGAATTATTTCATATTTTTAATAATATAGCTGTTATTAAAAATAATCTTTTTAATATCTCAGCTATATCCCCTAGATAGCAATGTGACTAAACCCAGTGCAAATGGTGACTGACTTCTGAGATGTTTTTTCCCGAGGAATATACCCCAGCAATCTCACATCTCACAATCTTAAATGAAACATAATTGGGAACTCTATTAAGTCTGTTGAGCTCTCAAGGTCAACTTTTACACTATTTGCTAGCAGAGCAGGCAAAGCGATGAAGATGAAGATGGAGATGAAGCACACCTGAAGCCGAACAGAGAGATGTTTTGGCTGATGGAATGGATAGAGGGGGTGAAAGAGCAGGTGTTGATCTGGAGGTGAGACAGGTAAGCAGACCTCTTCTTGGAGCTGCTGCCGGAGTTTGAGCTCACGCCCTGCGGCATGTCACTGTACAGGGAATCAGCGTCTCCAGGTTTCTTCACGTAATCACCCGGAGGCATTTGACTGGCATTTGACAAAATGAAGAAGGTTTGTTCTGAAAACTGAGCTGGGAAAACTTAAATCTGATCACTTAGAAATGTAAACACATTACACTACCATTCAAAAGTTTGGGGGCTTTAAATCATCAAATTGAAAAGAGACAGTAAAAGATTTAATGTTACAAAAGATTATAATTAAATAAATGCTGTTACTCTGAAGTTTCTTTTCATTAAAGAATGATTTCTGAAGGATCACTGATGTGACACTGAAGACTAGAGTCATTTACTGTATTTCTGATCAAATAAATGCAGCCTTGGAGAGCATAAGAGACGTTCAAAAACATTACAAAATCTTACTTACCCAAACGTTTGCATGGCAAATGTAATGCATAGGTTAAGGAGCTTGTTCAAATCCTTAATTACAGAACTATGAGCAATAATAATAACCTAATAAGCAATAATTCAAAACTTTCCACTCGTTCACACAACACATAAAAGCACAGTTATAAAATGAAGAAAAGCGTAGACAAACCGACAGAATCTTCTGTGTACGTCAGACTCAACATACTGACGCTGTCTGTAGCTCCTTCACAGGGGAGAAATTAGCGCAAAACAATTAGCGCAAAATATCCAGAGAAAAGCATAATAAAAGAACAAATCTGTATATCATTTGGTTCTGTACATGGAAGAAGCGGTTTGCTCCAAAATAGCCCTTTGGAGATTCTACTCATCTTCGTCTGAGTTAAATACAAGAATGTTTGGAACGACATGAGGGTAAATGCTGATAGAATTAAAATTTTTGGGTGGACTATCACTTTAAGTAAAGTTTAATAATGTTTCAGCTAGTGAGGGGTCTGTAATCATGTGACTCACTTGTATCCCCATGCAGAAATGCCTAGAATCAGTGCAAGGACCAGGATAGAGCCCGCAATGGCCCCGATGATGATGTTAGTAGTGATGACGCCTGTCAGAGGAACAGAACATTTAATGTGAAGACACAGCAACTAAAAGTCAACACTGACCTGCAATCATCTGGACAAACCAAAACTAATCTGTATGTAAACATGATTTATATTTATGTTAGATACAGAATCTAAAATTTCTTGTTTGTTTTGTCCAGTTGAACGCATGCCAAACTTAATCTGGAATAAAAACAGATAGAGACAGACACGAGAAAAAAGATTTAGATTAAGATTTATGACTCTTTCTGTCCACGGAGGCTGTATGTTAAAGGCATCCATTCAAATCAAATCCATAAAACAGGGTATATGACAAGGTTTATAACAACACAGCACAGCAGATAAACACTGCCAGCTTTCATTCAGACAGAAACACGGAGGAATGATGGGGCAAGTGAACGACAAAACCACAGAGAAGAAACGACAACAAACAACAACTCAAATCTAAACTCACTGTCACTCCAGCAAAAGACATGAGCCTGTCCACAAAGAACGAGTGCATATAAACAAAAGCCATGAAACAGAAAAATAAAAAGAGAAATTAAAAGCGTGTGAAATGTGTGCAAGTGGTGAATGAACTGTTGAACATGAATATGAAAACAGAACAGAAGAATAACAGACTAATGAAAAAAAATGATATCTTGAGATTTTCAGCCCTCATATATTTAAATATATTTGTTAAATAAATGTTAAATAAACGTTTATGTATTTGCTCTGAAATGGCTTACAATTGTTTTTGTTTGCAATAACAGGACCAAATTTAACAGTCAAGTAGATTCAAAATGTAAGAATTAATTTAATGTAAAAATTGTGAGAATAATCAATAAATTCTAAGCTGTTTTTCACTAAATACATTAAAATTATTAAATCCTGAAAATCCTTCAGTGTGTTAATATTGCTGGTGCCCCTGTTTTATATTGTGCTTAAGAGAACACCTTACTAGTGGTAAAATCGATTTATGTATCCAATTTATACAAATGACTTTTGAAATATGCTTAGACATGGCAGATCTTTAAGCTTTAAACTGGAGGTAAATGAGCTCCAAACACTGGAACTGGTTCTGCAAGTCATCCTCTTGTGAAGACTTAGCAAATGTGAAAGTTTGGCATACCTGATGTTTTGGCTGTGGGTCGCACCAGCAGGTAACTCAGAGGAGAGGTGGAGTTACAGTCCTCACCTGCCCAGCCCAGGTCACACACACACCTGAGCTCATTACTGCACACCTACAGCACAAGCACACACATAGATAAACCATTTATATACCAGAGTCAAAACACAGCAGCAATTAACTAAATCTTTCACTACAATAAAAGAAGATGCAGGGACTTGAATTGTTTACATAAATATCAGGGGTATTAAACACATATTTTTGATATTAACCAAATATAAATATAGCACTCGGAAGAGTATGGCCCAAAGTATGATTTATGTTATTTAAAAGTTAGTTCATTTATTACATTTTGACAATTTATTATTGTCTTTTAATTTTTATTTATACATTCATAAACCACATTGAAAATTTAAATTAGTGCTGTCAATCAATTAAAAATTCATGATTAACCACATCTAACAAAAAATAAATAAATAAATATATTTTCACAATAAATCTTATTTTCCAAATTAATGTAGAAATAATATAAAGATGGTCAATTTTAAATATTTGTTTAATGGCATCTTTAAACCTTTTATATAGTATGTTGTATACAGTGTGTATAAAGTAACATGTGATGTTTCTTTTTTTATCAATATGAAGTTTCTCTGTTTGACTGAGAGCCGTCAGTTCATTTTCTCCCCACTTAGTTTTATTTGGCACATTCATTTTTACAATACATAAGAAAATACTATTTCACATCATAAAGCAGTTAAAATTTTCTTCTAAATTTACTCATGGCATTTGGCACATGTGTGTATGCACTTTTTTTTTTTTGTGATGCTAAATTTCTCCAGATCTGTTCAGATGAAGAAACAAACTCATCTCCATTTTGGATGGTCTGAGATTTAGTACATTTTAAGCTAATTTTCTTTTTTAAACTATTCCTTATATATATTAATTCTACTGCAGTAGGATGTGTTGTGAGATGTACGTAACAGTGCCCTCACCTGGCTGGAGTTCCCAGTGCACATTTCTGGTATGTCACAATCATTGACAGCCTCACGACAAAGTACGCCCATAAACTCCAGCTACAGAGACAGCACAATAATCATTAAAAGTCACACACACAAACAGAAGGCTACAGAGTTTTCTTGTACAACTCAGCGCCTACCTGGCAGTTCTTACAACAGAGACCATCACTGCATTTGGCTCCCTGAGTCAACATACATTTCTTGCAGCAGTCCTCTCCTTCTCTAGCACACTCCTGCAGAAAGACAAGAAAAAAACAGATTACATAAGCAGTGTCAGATTAATGTGATCATGATGTTGATGTAAGATCACTCACGGCTGGGCTTCCACAGTCACACTCCTCTCCTGCCTCCACAAAACCATTTCCGCACTCTGGAGGATCCAAAAGCTACAAAACAGAAATGTTATTTCGCACATTTTTATTTGGTCATTTATTGCACTATTATTATTATACACAGATATTGTTTTCATATGCAATTAAAAAGCAAAGAGTTTGGCACTGTGTTTTTGTCATGATAATACAGTACAAATTTAATTTAAAAAGAGACAATGAGAGTGAATGAAAGGGCATCTTATGCTTATATCTTATATCAAAAATACAGTAAAATAGTAATATTCTGGAATAGTATTACAATTTAAAGTAACTGTTTTCTCTTTAAATTTATCCTTTGTAATTTATTCCTAATGCAAAGCTGAATTTTCAGCATCATTACTCCAGTCTTCAGTGTCACATGATCCTTCGGAAATCATTCTAATATGCTTATTTGTGCTCAAGAAACTTCTGATTATAATCAGTGTTGAAAACAGTTGTGCTGCTTAATATTTTTGTGGATACTGTGAATTTTATGATCAAACTTTTTCTTTGAATATAAAGTTAAAAACAGCATTTATTTAAAATAGAAATCTTTTGCATTTGAAATACAATTTCAATTATAAAAATGTTTCACTGTCACTTTTGATCAATTTAATGCATTCTTTCTGAATGAAAAATATTAATTTCTTTGAAATTAATTCAAATAAGCATTTCAATTTTGTGGAAATCCTTGGCACATTTTCTGGAGTTCTGTGGGTGCAGATTCTGTGTGGGTTTGGTGACGTACTAAGCAAAGTGATTGCTATGAACACACAGACAGAACTGAAGTGGGTTTACCTTCGAAGGTTTGTTGAAGAGACACGCACCACCTCCACTGTTCAGGAAATCATGATACTCTTCCACATTACAGTCAGAAAATCTCTTGGGTAAGTAGAAGCTGTCAGAGAGAACCACAAGGCACTAGAGTCACACTGCCTAACTTTATTTCCACCCCCTTTGATTCACACAACCACTGAGACAGGCTATAAAAAAAGAGTGTTTGTAATGCTAATCAAAGTCTCATAGAGCTTAAACTGAAAAGTAACAATTCTTACCTCAGTCACCACGCTTACATGCACATTGTTTTCTGATTAAGGCATTCTAGCCCTTATTTTGAAAACAATTCCAGAATGCTGCACATGTAATCATATTATAAATAAACTAAGATATGCAGATTCTTTCCCACTACTCCTATGTGGAAATACTGGAGGCACTTACCAACAGAGAATTACTTTTCTTTGGCCATAAGTGTATGTAAATGAACAAGACATTTCAATTACAAATAAAAAGCATTTATCATTATTATGGGGAAATGCCAACTGCCTTATTCAGATGACAATCAAGTTAAATCACATTTACATGACACATACTCTAAATAATCAGAATATGACCAAATTCCAAAACAAAATGTTAATGTAAACATGGTCACTGTTGAAGAGTTCTCATGGGGGCAAATTATTGCTAATAAATATGGGCTTGGGATAGAGAACAAGATTAATGTGAACTGGTCACGCTGAATGTAAACATCAGTCTGGTTAGATGGGGAAATGTTTACGTGGCTACTGACTCTGTTTCATTCAGACCAGCAGAGGGCAGGACTCAGACACAAAGAACAATAAAACACAGCTTACGAACAACACAAGGGCCAGAGCAACCAGATTTGTTAAAAATAGATTGTAAGAATTAGTCATTTCCTTGTGTTTACAGGCAGATCTTGACGTTTTCAACAAGGTGGACGTGTAGTGCATTGCATTATACTGTATAAGTAACAGTTGCTAAATGAATTCACATCTACAATTACATTTATTCATTTAGCAGACGCTTTTATCCAAAGCGAATTACAAATGATAAGCACAACAAGCAATTCATCATAGAAGCAAATAAACCCAAGAAGTGCTCCTAATACAAAGTTTCCGAAATTGAAGACATCTAAACCCTAAAACAGGGATTCACAAACCTTTTTGTCAGATGAACCCCTTTTGATCCAAAACATTCATTTGAAGTACCGCCTAAGATTTTAATTTATTATCAATAATTTAACAACACATATGCATGTTCATGGTTCTCTGATGTTGGTTAAAGGTCACAGGATATGCAGGTAAACAAATGCCTTATTCTGCATGACCATATTTTAGTGCATGACTATGCAAATATTATTTATTTATTTTACATCTTTTCTTATGAACACCCTAACCCTATAAACCTAGTTTGGGAAACCCTGGTCTGAAATACCCAACCACTCTTAATCCTCTCTGATCCTGATGACACTTTCAAAGCTTTTATTTCCTCCTTCTTTTATCTATCCATTCACTACACTCCCTTAGATGCAAATCACAGTTTATCCACTTGTAAACACAGTGATATGGCAGTACGCTCAATTCGTACAAGAACAATGAACGCTGCTCAGCCTGTATCGGCTGGGTCGCTGCCCTCAATATCCTGCAGAGGTCATTCCGAAGCAGTAAGCACTATTCCAATCTGTGACAATCTGCAACAATGCAGTTTCAAGAAGCCTTAACCGGAGGCTGAGAATCAATAAGTGCATATCTCACATTATGCCGTGTGTGAGTGGTTACTCTTCATTTACCAGACGCTGAGTGTGTTCCTGGAATATCAGGGCACCTTGTCTTACCTGCTTGAGCATGGGTAATTAATTTTAAAGTGTTGCAGACATTTTCACAGGATTGTTAACAGCAGGGAGACACACTTAAAGGGGGAAAACAGAGAACACAAAACATCCTGCCACATTAACACTGGAGTTAGTGGATCAGATCGGACATGCAGGCTGCACGAAAAATAAACTTCTCAAAACATCCATCAATGGAGAGACAGATCGACATGAGCGTGTCTGTCTGAAAGGCCATTGATACTAGTGTTAATAACATGAGCCGTGAGAATGTGCTGTGTGCATTTCAGGAAATGATGGATATCTATATATATCAAAAACAACCCAACTACATCATATGTGCATGTTGAAACCAGAGGACTTTCTCATACTCAGAAGTTTGGACTTTTTGTCCCAATAGTCCCATATTCTCCTGATAGTGAGAAAGTGCTTAGCTTGGTGTGGTGATTACAACACAGCAAACAGCAAGACGGGGGGTGAACACACACAGAGTGCTGGTGTGAATTTCAGCTAACGTCCTGTCAGTAAGCCATTAAACATCAGATGAGATGTCAATCACTTTTGTCACTGAAATTCTGATTATCTGATTGTATTATAAAAGCAGACTTTTGTGTTTAGAGGTAGGCTGTGTGTGTGTCACACAGGCTTTATGACATTTGGCATTAGCATGAAATCATGATCGTTCTGTTCTTTTGAGTGTGAATGACCGCAGACACTTTTAAACACGTTAAAGGGGTAATATCACGGAAAATCAAATTTTCCTTTTATAAAAAGTTACATACTGCAAGTTTTGGAACTCAAAGCTTCCTCCACATTCCAAAAAGAATATTCTTTAAAAGAAACTAAAAACAGCTAGTTATGCAATCTTCATAGTTATGACCACACAAGGACGCCAACTTGATTTCGGTGTGGATAGTTTTTTGCAGAAATGCTTTTTATTTAATTATGGGCCAGTTCAGACAATATTAGACCTGACAGCAAACCCAAAAAAGCCTGTTTAATTCCAAGAGGTGAAAAATACTGAAATCGTAGCTAATATGATCAGGCTGAAATGCATATGACCCCTTTAAACTGAGAGGAGCCCAATAATCCTCTCTTAACGAAACGTGTCCCACAATGAGCTATCAGCCGAATTAAAAACCAGTAAAAAAGAGAGCACACAGGAAACTGCAGAATGTTCCAACACAATGTAGCTTCTGCTATATCTCTCTCTTGACTGAATGCTATTAGATGGAGTGAGGGGCTGAAGTGACTCAGCAGCTGACTGGTCGACAGGACACGAGCGAGTAGCATGACACAGCCAAGCGTCTGCTCACCTGCTGTCCCATTCGGGATCGAGGGGAAACGCAAAAGGTATTAAAACACACGGATAAAGACAAACCAACACACACAGACGCACACTGTGACATGAGCAAACACCTATCGCATCACACGTATCTGATCACTTCACATTCACTGACAAACACTGTTTATGAATATTAGAAAGCTAAAAAAAGAGCCAGTGCAAATTTGAAACATGAACAGTGAAATGTCAAAATCCACATGTGAAATGTCAACAGCGGAGAGCCAAACAGAGAAAATTGGACTAAAATGATCAATAACACTTTCTCATCACATTTTGAGGATATCATGTTCTAATTTTACACAGGAGTTCATATGTCAATCTTACAAAAATGTTCTATTTCACCCCAATATCAAAATAAAAATACAAATGTTTGACATAAAGAAAACAGATTTTTTTATGATTATAAAGTTTTATTTGTGCAGTGAATTTTTTATGATAATTATGAACATTTACATTAATCTGAATGTAACCTGGAGTTTTTGTGTAATGTTCAATTGTGATTCTTTTTACTGTAATACAATAAAAATGTATTTAAGGCAGCACAAATGATGTATGACAAAGTAAATAAATAATAATTATATAAAAATAATTTCATAAATATTTAATATTTTAATACATTTTTATTTTATAATTATTAAATAAGAACAAGGTTATTTTTGGCACATTACAGTAATGAGAATTGATTTTAGGGTGAAATGTGCATATTTTGTGCAAGGTTTTGTGAGATTCACCCTCACAGATTGTAATGCTAATTTGCCCACCCATCAACAGTCTGTGAGGTTCCCGTGAAAATGAAAACAGGACACAGAAATGAGTAAGCACTGAGACTTTTTTTGGCTGAGAAGCCAAATTAGTTTCTATTTCACCCCAATATCAAAATAAAAATACAAATGTTTGACATAAAGAAAACTGATTTTTTTTATGATTATAAAGTTTTATTTGTGCAGTGAATTTTTTATGATAATTATGAACATTTACATTAATCTGAATGTAACCTGGAGTTTTTGTGTGATGTTCAATTGTGATTCTTTTTACTGTAATACAATAAAAATGTATTTAAGGCAGCACAAATGATGTATGACAAAGTAAATAAATAATAATTATATAAAAATAATTTCATAAATATTTTATATTTTAATACATTTTTATTTTATAATTATTAAATAAGAACAAGGTTATTTTTGGCACATTACAGTAATGAGAATTGATTTTAGGGTGAAATGTGCATATTTTGTGCAAGGTTTTGTGAGATTCACCCTCACAGATTGTAATGCTAATTTGCCCACCCATCAACAGTCTGTGAGGTTCCCGTGAAAATGAAAACAGGACACAGAAATGAGTAAGCACTGAGACTTTTTTTGGCTGAGAAGCCAAATTAGTTACTGCCACCTAGTGGAATTCATGAAAATTAGTGTCTCAAAGTTTCTCACTGGCTGCCAGTTAACAACATCTGACGTGACAGAACGTGTTATGGATCAGTGAGTGGCACAAATTTCAAACACTGTTACTTTGACTGCATTTAATTGAAAGTTATTTAAGCAACAAAACACAGGAACATAGACTCAGCACAAAGCATGACAGGCTGTTTTAGTAAGACTAATATGCATTTCCAAAAGGGTCTCAAAACTTAAGTGAGTTATGTGTGTGTGTTAGGAAATTTGGGAAATCTGCTTTATTAGAAACTTACCCAACATCATCCATTATGCAGCCAGACCATTTATCTTCACACTTGCACTCCCCTGTGAGGGAAAGACGGATTACAGTGGCATACTATGAGAGTCTGTATGTGTGAGTACTGCTGTGTTTACTGCCAAAGCACGCACATGAAAAATATAAAAGTGAGAATAGGAAACGAGAACACACACCGTTTAAAATGCGTTTCTTATCAGAAAAGATGCCGATATTTTGTCCCAGTGACTGGGCGAGAGTTATGGCCATTTCTTCAGTCTTTCCATACTAACAAATTTGAGAAAAAAAAACAAATAATAGCCTTTGAGACTTGACATACAAATTCCTTTTCATTAGTTAAAAGAGTTGCATAACCATAACCACTAACCTCATTGACTCCGCCTCCTTTAGTGAGTGAGCAGACTCCGCCTATGTATGAGGCTCCTCCCCAGTTACTATGAAAACGGTTGCCCCTGGATGCAGAGAGAAAACTTATTAGAAATGCTGTTTCACTTGATCAAAAAAACTAATGTTTGCTGTATGTGTGTTTTCTTGATAACTCACGAGAAAAGGTGAATGGAGTCACACTTTTCTTTAATAAAGTCTCTTCGGTACTTCATAAACTCTCGTAATGTCACCATAGGATCGTCGTTGATGTTAAACCTGTTGTCCGCAGCCCACGTTTCCATCGCAACCAAGACAATTCTAGTGTTGATTTGCTCTTTGAAGTACTGCAGATACAAACAAAAATGATTTTATTAACAACAGATAAATAAAGAATTGCATCTCTTGCATGTAAATCTGAATCCACAAGACACACGTGACGACTGCAGAATGATGAATCTTTTTTGTTTTTCATTCTAGAGCTCAGTTTGACATATTGAACAACAGGCTAAAGCAGATAAATGCCAACTGTCTCGCACAGAGAGAGAAATGGAGGGATGTTTATGTGACTGTCAAGGGCACAGAGTCTGACAAACAAGCAAATTAAGCAGCTCATGACGTGACTGTCAGACTGTACAAGGTCTATTTGTCTTAGATGAGGATCAGCCTTCTGTTTAATGGCTATACAAATGATGTATTATTAAAATTATTCAAAGAAGACTATGAAATGTACATTACTAGCAACTTACCAGATCAGCCATATTCACAACAGATTTAGCGTAGTTATTTGTCTGTCCAACGGAAAGGCGATGTTTCTTGTACTGGGAAAAATTAATGCGAATACATAATAAAATGAATGCATTACAGGCATAAGAAGAAAAAAAACAATAATAAATTGGTTAATAATATGTTAGTTAATTATGTGAACAATGGACTGTTACTCATCTTACCATCAAATGATCATTTATGACCATCAGCTCTATATATTTGGTCTCATCTGCAACACTCCGTGGATTTTGTGTTATCTGTGTGAGGAATTTGACAGTGCATAATATTATATCATCACCCTGCAGCATGCAAAACACGCTTACTGCAGAGAAACAGCTGATCTATACATTAGTGCTGTAAAGAGTTCACAGCCCTGCTGTAAATATTTCATGAGTGTAGGAGAGATGGGGAGGAAAAGAAAGACACAGAAGAAACAGAAAGAGAGCAGCACTGAAATCACATCAGACAGTCAAAGCTTAACAGATACACACACCCACAAACACAAACCATGAGCCATGAGTGTTGTGAGACAGTATACACACCTGTCTCTTTTTCCTTCTGTGGGCAGCACTGGACAGTGGAGTGTTCTGGAACGGTGACTCTGCCAGGTGAACTTAAACAAATATTAACTATCAGTATGGACAGTTGAGCATGAAGTGCATGCACACAGATCTAACTCATTCTGCTTTATTAAGTATCCCCCATGGGCTCATGCTATATACATAATACTTTAAATCTGAACATGAGAATGGTTCATACCTGCAGAAATGAAGTCCTCTGGGGGGTCCAAACCAGGAGACTGATAAATCATGTGCACATGAACCTCCTCCTACAGGGAAAGAATGCGAGGAAATGATATGATTCATCTGTGTCAAACACTCCTACATAACACTTAGTGAGTTCGAAAAGACACATTGTTCAGTTTGTATAAGAAAGAGACATCTCTGTCAGGAGTTTCTAAATGGTCTTAGTTTAACAGTAAGTTTCAAAGGACCCTTTTGGTGATATTGGTCATTTTCTCACAGAATCGGTGGTCTATAATAAAGCCAGTCACATTTTTATTGAGCCAATTTGTTGTCTACAAGTTCTAAATGTATTAATTACAATATTTGTAGGCCTGAACAACTGTTTCATATGTTTTACAGTTTGTTACAGTATTGTTGTTTGCATTAATTTGACCCAAAATATGTTTTTTATGAGACACATTGTTCAGTTTGTATAAGAAAGAGACATCTCTGTCAGGAGTTTCTAAATGGTCTTAGTTTAACAGTAAGTTTCAAAGGACCCTTTTGGTGATATCGGTCATTTTCTCACAGAATCGGTGGTCTATAATAAAGCCAGTCACATTTTTATTGAGCCAATTTGTTGTCTACAAGTTCTAAATGTATTAATTACAATATTTGTAGGCCTGAACAACTGTTTCATATGTTTTACAGTTTGTTACAGTATTGTTGTTTGCATTAATTTGACCCAAAATATGTTTTTTAAATGTTTATACAGAATTTGACTTTAAAAAAACATATGACTACCCTATTCACAAGTGTGATATCTAGCTTATTGTGAATAAATGGTTAAGACAATTTAGAAAAAGATAAGATGGATAAGTGGAAACTGAACGTTTTGACTACCGTTTGCTGAAGGCTCTAAAATATGCAACCACGTGATTTGCTTGAGTCGAAGCTCCACACGCAGACTGTGTCGTTGAAAGGGCCACGGTATGATTCGCACGCTGTTAATTGGAATAATTATCCTAGCTTTGTGTTTATTTACTTTATACTAAGTGAGCGCGCATGTGACGTCACGCCGCACCCTCAGTGAGGTTGCGCGAGCTCCCGAAGAGTCCCAAACACAACACTACACGACGAAACCGGACAGAAGATCACCGAATCTGTGATAAAATGACCGTTATATCACCAAAAGAGTGACAGTCCTTCGAAGCGTACTGTTAATCAGGTATGTGCGCGATATATTGGTCCTGACAGCGTCACTCGGATGAAACCAAAGCGCAACAGGTTGTATCATAATGTTAGCCGTTAGCTGAGATTAGCTTGCTAGCGCTCGAATATACTCTTGAATAAATCATTACTAAACCACATCTGGAATGAAAACAAACCGTAAATCAAAACACCAATTACAAGCTCGTGAAAACACAGCAAATGTAACTTTATGTCGCTTCTGATAGAGACCGCAATAAACTCCTGACAGAGATGCGGTTGTTTGACATCTATTGTTAATGAGAGACGCTACGCAGAGACGTACATTTATTACCCTCCATATAAACAGTACACATGCCTATTGTACATATACACAGAGACATTTATTGTAGTCTACATACACTTACAATTAAATACATTAATGCTTAATACACACACTTATACTTAACACGACACATTTAAGCAATGCATCAGCACTTAACGCGGTTTTGACTCCTCTTTACTGTATGTCTGTGAGGGAGTGGACATTACAGTAAGACTTAAGTACACTTTCTATGTTTCCATACATGCATACATACAGCAAACTAAATCAAATGACTCAAAATATGTAACTTTTTCTCTCTTCATTTGTGACCCTGGACCACAAAACATCTCTAGCACTCTATTCTAATTCTATTCTTTAAAAAAAAAACTTTTAGACTTGCACTCTATTCATTTAATAACTGCTTGTTTTCCTTTAAAAAAAACTAATACTAGCTTCTCTATTCTTTTTGTATTCTATCTATGTGTTTTCTTTTATTTATTATAAGATTAACAAAAAGCAAAAAAACTAAACAAAAAAAAATGCCTCCAACACTAGCTTGCTCTATTCTTTTTCTATTATATCGGTTTTCTTTTTATTTATTATACAATAAAAAAAAATAAAAAAAAACCTTGCTACGTGTATTGAGTTAGGCTAACTGAGACTTGTCATAGCACTTGCATATTTCTCTTTTGTTGATTTTGATTGCTTCCATTGTCCTCATTTGTAAGTCGCTTTGGATAAAAGTGTCTGCTAAATGATTAAATGTAAATGTAAAACCTATTTGTAGCAATAGCCAAAAATACATTGTATGGGTCAAAATTATCGATTTTTCTTTTATGCCAAAAATCGTTAGGATATTAAGTAAAGATCGTGTTTCATGAAGATTTTTTGTCAATTTCCTACCGTAATTATATTAAAACTTAATTTTTGATTAGTGATATGCATTCCTCAAGACTTCATTTGGACAAATTTAAAGGCAATTTTGTCCATATTTAGATTTTTTTTTTGCACCCTCAGATTTCAGATATTCAAATACGTGTATCTCGGCCAAATATCGTCCTATCCTTGAGAGACGCTACGCAGAGACGTACATTTATTACCCTCCATATAAACAGTACACATGCCTATTGTACATATACACAGAGACATTTATTGTAGTCTGCATACACTTACAATTAAATACATTAATGCTTAATACACACACTTATACTTAACACGACACATTTAAGCAATGCATCAGCACTTAACGCGGTTTTGACTCCTCTTTACTGTATGTCTGTGAGGGAGTGGACATTACAGTAAGACTTAAGTACACTTTCTATGTTTCCATACATGCATACATACAGCAAACTAAATCAAATGACTCAAAATATGTAACTTTTTCTCTCTTCATTTGTGACCCTGGACCACAAAACATCTCTAGCACTCTATTCTAATTCTATTCTTTAAAAAAAAAACTTTTAGACTTGCACTCTATTCATTTAATAACTGCTTGTTTTCCTTTAAAAAAAACTAATACTAGCTTCTCTATTCTTTTTGTATTCTATCTATGTGTTTTCTTTTATTTATTATAAGATTAACAAAAAGCAAAAAAACTAAACAAAAAAAAATGCCTCCAACACTAGCTTGCTCTATTCTTTTTCTATTATATCGGTTTTCTTTTTATTTATTATACAATAAAAAAAAATAAAAAAAACCTTGCTACGTGTATTGAGTTAGGCTAACTGAGACTTGTCATAGCACTTGCATATTTCTCTTTTGTTGATTTTGATTGCTTCCATTGTCCTCATTTGTAAGTCGCTTTGGATAAAAGTGTCTGCTAAATGATTAAATGTAAATGTAAAACCTATTTGTAGCAATAGCCAAAAATACATTGTATGGGTCAAAATTATCGATTTTTCTTTTATGCCAAAAATCGTTAGGATATTAAGTAAAGATCGTGTTTCATGAAGATTTTTTGTCAATTTCCTACCGTAATTATATTAAAACTTAATTTTTGATTAGTGATATGCATTCCTCAAGACTTCATTTGGACAAATTTAAAGGCAATTTTGTCCATATTTAGATTTTTTTTTTGCACCCTCAGATTTCAGATATTCAAATACGTGTATCTCGGCCAAATATTGTCCTATCCTAACAAACCATAACTCAATGGAAAGCGTATTTATTCAAATTTCAGATGATGTATAAATCTAAATTTTGAAAAATTGACCCTTATGATTGGTTTTGTGGCCCAGGGTCACATTTTACTCCTTGTCTAAAAATGTAATTTTGTGTCCCTTTCCCCACAAGGTTCCAGTTTTTCTTGCCTCCAGCTATGTCTTGTCGTGACATTCACGCCACCAATGCTTTCGCCTTCATCATTGCGATGCTGTCGGTGGCCGGTCTGACCGTCGCCACGCTTATTCCCCAGTGGAGAACCACCCGCCTGCTCACCTTCAACCGCAATGCCAAAAACGTGACTGTGTACGACGGCCTGTGGACCAAGTGTGTGCTGCGTGATGGTTCTTCGGGTTGCTATTACTTTGATTCAGACTGGTACGCAAAAGTAGACCAGCTGGACCTCAGACTGCTGCAGTTCTGTTTACCTGCTGGTAGGTGCTCATGTTGGGTTCCTTGACCTTATTTCTCAGTTTATAAGGCCCTATGAAAGCTGTATTCTTTTTCCCAAATTTCTTTTCCTCCCAAATTCCATGTTTTCCATTTTAATTGTGTTTTTTAATGGCTTAATTTTAAAGAGTCCATATGATGCTTTTTAATGTTTTCTTTTTTGTTTATTGTGTAATGTATCTGTTTATGCATAAAATCTGCAAAGTTACAAAGCTCAAAGTCTCCCACAAAGGGCTTTATTCTAGCTATCAGAGAACACTGTTCCAGACCTGCCTAAAATGCATTGATTAAAGTCCAGATATTGCTTCCGCAAACATCTACATCACAGTTTGAAACATTTGCATAATGCCTGCCCAAAGGCATATTGGCCTTCTAAAAATGGATGAAATTAGGAATCAGTGGTAAAGATTTAACAGTTTAAAATTTAATGAATCTTTAAAAATTAAATCAAATGAAATGTGAACAATTTCTTTCTTTTTGTTTTGGCAAACAGTGCAGAGTTTTGAAAAACTAATATTATTGTTACTAAGTACATTCTACTGTACAATAGTAATATATTTCTGTCATGAATGAATGAATAATTGTACACCCAAAGCGCTTTACAATCATATGGGGGGGTCTCTCCTCAACCACCACCAGTGTGCAGCATCCACTTGGATGATGCAACGGCAGCCACAGGACAGCGGCGCCAGTGTGCTCACCACACACCAGCTACAGGTGGAGAGGAGAGAGAGTCATAGAGCCAATCAAGTGGTTGGGGATTATTAGGAGGCCATGATTGACAAAGGCCAGGGGGGCAATTTGGCCAGGACACCGGGGTTACACCCCTACTCTTTACGAGAAGTGCCATGGGATTTTTAATGACCACTGACAGTCAGGACCTCGGTTTAACGTCTCATCCGAAGGACGGTGCCTTTTGACAGTATAGTGTCCCCGTCACTATACTGGGGCGTTAGGACCCACACAGTCCACAGGTTGAGCACCCCCTGCTGGCCTCACTAACACCTCTTCCAACAGCAAGCTAGTTTTCCCAGGAGGTCTCCCATCCAGGTACTGACCAGGCTCAACCCTGCTTAGCTTCAGTGGGCAACCAGTCTTGGGCTGCAGGGTGATATGGCTGTCATAATTTCTTCAAGTTTCAAACCAGACAGGTTGTAGTTCAAACCTTTGAGTTTCTGCGTGTATGTGTCATTATTTTTTTCGAGTGAAATGGTAAAACACTTGTTACGTGACTCTCAGAGCAGCTCTGAAGATGAAGTTCATATGTAGTGTCCTATATAGTGAGAAGGCAGATGCTGAAAACAAACATCACGCGTGCTAGAGTATGTGTAGTAGACCAAACTGTGCCGCACATTCACTCATCTATTTCATATTAAATAGCAGTCTTTTTGTGATTTATATTCACTGACAATAGTCTATATTGCCATTTGATAAAGTGTACAGCTCTACTTTTAAATTTATTCATCCAATTTGTGCCAAATTCCAGGACATATTGCGTTGTACAGTGAATTGGATTTTTATGACTGTGTGATTCTGTCCTCATTCACCACACCGCGGAAATCATCGGGCCCTAAGTTCATTCTGTTGATATCATAACTCTTTTCTCCACAGGTCTGCTGTTTTCCAGCTTGGCTCTTCTGCTCTGTCTCACTGGCATGTGTAAAACTGCTTGCTGCTCCAAAACTCCTGACGATGTCAAGAACTCCCGCTGCTTGGTCAACAGCTCAGGCTGCCATCTAGTGGCTGGGATGCTACTGTTTCTAGGTGGGGCCATCGCCATGCCGCCCTCTGTCTGGTTCCTGTTCCACACGCGTAACCTTAACGAGCGCTACGATAATCTGTTTGCCGTAGAGTTTGGGGTGTATGTGGCCATCGGCAGTGCTGGTGGTCTGATCTTAGCTGCTCTGCTGATGTTCATGTGGTATTGCATGTGTAAAAAACTGCCTTCACCCTTCTGGCTACCTCTACCTGAAGGGCCTGCGATGACCAACAGCCTCTCCGCGCAGCCCCTCATGACCAACGGCTTGCCTTCTCCTGTGACATACGCACCCCAGACCTTCCCTCCGGCTGTTCTGGATGCCCCCGTTTTTGTCCCAGCACAGGGTTACCCTCAACCTGTACCCACACAGCCTATGCTGCCCCATGTCTACATGCCACAGATGTCCATACCTGATGGTTACGGCTCAGATATGGGAGCCTCACAGGCATATAGTTATGCTCCCTCTAGAAGCTACGCACCTTCTCAGGGATACGCCCCCTCACAGAGGTATGCTGGGCACCGCTATTCCACACGCTCCCGAATGTCCGGCATTGAGATTGACATTCCTGTCCTTGCTGACTGACACTGAGTTGGTTGTTTCAAGTCAAACTGGTCAAACTGGTATTCTATTTCTATAACTAAGAAATGATAAATTAGCTGTGGTAGGGAATTTGAAGTGTACAAAACAGTGAAATTGAAAGAACGCCTTTAGTCAATTAGTGTAGCAGGTACCTCTTAGTTATAACACTGAAAATGGCCAAAAAAGGTCATCAAAGCAATAACACAAGTGGAATTAGGAGGTTGCGTACCTCTCTCTCAATGAGCTTTGTTCATTAAACACAAGCAGAATAAATTTCTGTGTAAACTGTTCATAATTTCAATGAGTATGTTGCATTTATTTCAGTGTGACAGGTTTATGTATTATGTACACACAGATATACTTTCTGCTAATTTTCATGACCCTAATGTCTTTATTCTGCTTTTTAAACCTTGATAGTAACACTGAACTAATTGTTGATGTTAAGTTTTAACCTGTCAGTGAATATGCATGCTAATATCTAAATGTGATAAGTAAATGCTAGAAAGAGACGCAACCTACAACCTGTTTTATGACTGCTTAAACTTGTATTACTGTTAAGCCACGAAGTTTCATATTTGCCTATTACGTTGCCTTATTGTTGTAATACCTGAACATCGTTTTTTTTTTTTATTCATAAATAGTCAAATCAAATACGATGGCATTTTAGTGTTACGTAAAAAAAACTAAGATTACAAGATTAAACTTGCAATATTTTGAGAAAAAAGTAAAAATTATGAGAATAACGTCGTAGCAATATGAGAATAAAGTCTAAATTATGAGAATAGTCTAAATATTTTGAGAATAAATGTAAAATATTTCGAGAATAAAGTCGAAATTAATAAATCAACTTAATTATCATAATTTTGACTTTATTGAAATATTTTGACTTTATTCTCAATTTTGAATTTATTCTCAAAATATTTCGACTTTATTCTCAAAATATTTCGACTTTATTCTCGTATTGCTATGACTTTATTCTCGGAATTGTGACTTTTTTCTCAAAATATTACGGCTTTAATCTTATAATCTTAGATTTTTTTTACGTTGCACTAAAATGGCATTGTAATCAAAAGAACAGCATTTATTTTAAATATTTAAAATATTATTTAAAATATTTTATCAAATAAATTAAATAATTATTCATTTTTTACAGTGCAATGTTTTATAAAACCTACACTGTCTGTAATAGAAACTATATTCTTAGCTATTTTGCAAAATGTTAAAATTACT